GCCTCAGCAAGAGCCCCCCCTGCCTCCCCGGGGGCTCCTCATCCATTAATTAATCCACCGGCTGGATCGATTCAGGGTCAGGAAGTAGAGACAGCCAGGATTTTCATCAGCCGCCCGAGGCGAGGCTGCAGGACGAGTCCCTTCCTGGGAGAGCCTCTCAAAATACTGCCAGTCAAGGGCGGAGGGAGGGAAGCTGCTTAGCTGCAAATCAATAACGCAGGCGCCTTCTTGGGAAACAAAAATGTCAGGCGCTGGAAATCCTAGAAGAGAGGAAGAAAAGTTGCCCCAAATTCAAACAAGAACTCGGTGTCCCACTTGCCGTCTCTCCTCCTGGCCTGTTCGCCTTCCTTTTTCTCTACCTCGGTGACTTGGAGAAATGTGGACCTTCCAGGATTGCCCAGCCAGCTGGACTTCAACTCCCAGAACACCCCACCTCACCCCAGGGAGCATGCTGGAATTCTGGGAGTTGAAGTCGACACCAAGGTTGGGAGAAAAACCATCCCAGACGGACCGTCTTGTGGTCAAAGCTGTGAAAGTAACATGCTTCCCCGAAAATAAGACAGCGTCTTAGACTCCCAAACTAAGCGCTTGGCCTTATTTTCAGGGAGGTCTTATTATTTTTGAGGTGCAGGAGGCGGTGACCATGTTGCAATATTTTTGGGGGAGGGCTTATTTTAGTGCATGTGCTCCAAAGCCCAATTGGGCTTATTATCCGGGGAGGTCTTATTTTGGGGGAAAGAGGGTAAATGGCGTCCTATCCCAGGTAGCAAAAAGGCTTCAGCTGGGGAAAAAGCTGCTTGCCGAGAGGCCGGAATCTTGCCAGACTAAAGCACAAATCTGCTTGCATTGACATGTATCCTGAAGTCCTTCTTTCCGATCTGGGCAAGGGGCTTCCTTTGCACTGACTGCCCGTGTTCTCTTTTGCCCCCCCCCCCCCAGGAGAAACGCATCGCCTCCTTGGACGCGGCCAACGCCCGGCTCATGAGCGCCCTCACGCAGCTGAAAGAGAGGTACAGCACGCAAACCCGCAATGGCATCTCCCCCACCAACCCGACTAAATTGCAGATCACCGAGAGCGGTGAATTCCGGAACAGCAGCAGCTGTTAACCCAGGGGACCGGCTGCTGCGGGCGCGCGGGAGCGAGAGGACAGCCAAGCCGAGCGCTCAGGAGGGGCGAGCTGCCTGGCACGGGCCTGGCACTCCCCTTGTCCACCTCCTCCAGCGGGAAAGCCAAGTGGACCCCCAGCCCTCCTCGCCGGCGGCCCCTGGCCCAGCAATGGCGCTGATTTGCACAGGAGCCTCCAACCGAGCAGGAGTGAAGCCAGTTGCCCAAAGAAGATGCTTCAGCAGGTCACTTCCAGGAATGCAGAGGGACTAATGACACACCCAGCACTCTGTTACAGCGAGTTCTCCCTGACCTGTCACCACTCCTGGCACTGCCACCACCCTGGGATTTGCCCTGCGAGGCACCGCCACGTCCCTCCGAGTGCTCGTTCAGTGCCAGGGGCCTCGTCCCCCTTCGTCCGGGGCATGGCACCTCCTCCCAGCCCTAGCAGACCTTATCAGGGAACGGAGGAGGAACTGGGGCAGCTCTGGGGCTCCATCGTGGGCAGGAGGCATCTCTGCAGATGTGTTGTTTGATATTCTCTGTGTGAGTCCCTGAAGAACGCCCACTAGCCAGAAAACCTCAACCCCAGCCAGAAAGTTCAAACTCTGTTTAAAGATGTTTCTCTCTCTCTCTCTCGGTTTAAGTTTGCAGAATTAATTTGGGGGTCAACTTTTATCAGCACGGATCTCCTCTTCCAGCACTTAGCCGCCAACCCCACCCCTCCCCACAAGCATTTCTGCCCCCAGGGCTGGAGACAAGGCCAAAAATGACGGGGAGAGGGCAGAAGGTAGCATCGGTTCGATGCAGCCAGGAGCGAGACTGGCCATCGTGCATCCAGGGACAGGTTGGGCACTCCGTCTTCTGCAAACGCACCGAATGAACTCGGCATCAGAAGGCCTGTTTTGGTCACCTTTAGGCTGGCGAGACCCAACACGTTGGGAAAGGAGGTGAACGCTGCAGAAGAACCCCTCCTCCCCCTTGCCCAGCCCTGCCCAAGCAGCCAAAGGGAGAGCCCGCCTGGGCATTTTGGAGATCCTGGTGTCCCAGGGAAAAGGACGGGCACGAGGGCTGTTTTGCTGTGCCAAACAAGAACAGTGAAAGAAATTGCCACTAAAGGAAACTCTGAAGCCCAAGGAACAAATCCACAGCGGGGCACAGTGCAATAGTGTGCCAGGGGATGGCAAGGCAGCCAAACCTCTGGCGGTGTTCGCAAAAGGCAGGAACCAACCGCTTTGCCAGCCGGGGCCTCCGGGGAGGGATAACGGCTGCCCCCTCCACTTCCTAGCACCCAGGGAGCTGCCGTCCCACAGATGGGGAGGACCCCCATTTCTCTAGAAAGCTGCTCACAAAGTGGGGGGGAGGTTGGGTCTGCTTGGCGGGGCCTTTCGTGCTCCAACTGGCCGGGGAGGGTCCCGTTTCTCCATGTATGGCAGGTCCCTGCATGGTGGCTGCCGGGGAAGCACCGGAGGACGAAAACTGACGGCCTCCCTGCCGTACGAGGGCCGGTAACCCGCTTTCTTTTTTCTTCCACAGTCTGCGTTAGGAATAAAACGGCCCAAAGCCCAAAGCAGACCTTTCTGGAGTCCTCTTCCTCTTTTCAGGGGGGTTCATGTGGGTCCTGCGTGGGAAGCTTGCCACCTCGACGAGGCCGCACAAAAGAGAGTAAACGAGCCAAGGACGCGCCCTCGGAAAAAAGTGCCGCCTCCCCTTTCCCCTAATCTGAACTGCTGGGCAGCCCTAGCCGGGCTGGTGGGCCTTGGCAGGGCGGTCCGTTGTGAGACGGGTGTGGGTGCGAGGTTTGTAGGAGGCAGCCGCCCCCACGGAGGAAGGTGAAAGAAGCCGGACGTTGGATCCCTCTTGCGGCAATCGCTTCTCCGCTACCGTCCGGCTCGGCTGCGTGCAAACTCTGGCCCCGGGCCCTTTCCCAGAAGACCCGGAGTTTAATACTGACAACAACCTCCCCCCCACACCTGGTGATCCCACCTGGGTCCGAACATCCGCAGACAATCATGCTCCTTTTCTGCACCCTGCTTTCTCTCTCTCTCTCTCTCTTTCTCTCTCCCTCCCTCCCTCCCTCTCTCTCTCTCTCTCTCTCTGGGACGAAGGAACCAATGCAACACTGAATACCTCCAAATAGTCATTTCCCCAGGTGGCCATTTGTAAGGCGGGTGCCCATCACCGAGAAGGGTGCATGCAAACTAGAGCACAGATTTCCTAGGGCATGGTGCCCAGGCAGGGTCTTAGGCAGCCTGGGCAAAGGGGCAGGGGACCGGGCACCTTTCCTTGCCAACTGCTCCCAGGTGTCATGAGGTCTTGAGGGGCCTTGCCATCCCGGAGCCTCAGTGTTCCAAGTATCATGTAGAATTAAATTGGAGTCCAAGGCAAAACAATCCTTAAAGTTCCAATTTAATAAAGCCCATCTTCTCTCCAAGTGGGGCATTCCTCCTAAGCCCTTCCCAGCCAGCCGTACCTTAAGTAAATGGGCATCTTCCACTGTGCTGCCCTTGGCCCTGCTGGAGACTTCCCAGGCCACTGGGAACATTTGCCAAATGCCAGGTCACAAAAGCTGGAGCCTGCCCTCTCGCCTCGCCCGCCAGAGGTCTAAGATGGCAGGAGGGCACCCCTGTGTCATCCGGGGTTCAGGCCAGCCTCTGGGTGCTCGACCGGATTTCCTCGCTTCCTCACCCCTCAAGGCTAGGCAGGTGGGAGGGCACCCCAGCTCCGTCCTCCCAAACTGAGAGAGAGAGAGGCCTCCACTGCCCTTTCGTTCCTCGGGTGGTGGAGGGCAAAACCCCCCCCCCTTTTCTCTGTTCTAAAACTTTCTGCCATATGAACTCGTTACGATCTGCGAGGTTTTCATTTTTTTACAACTAATCCTTATATAATACACTGATCTTTAGAACTTGTACAGGTTCCCCTTTGTAAAATGGAGAAAGTTTGTTTTCAAAAGTATCGAATATAATGTGCCATTTTTTAAAATTTCATTTTGCCTGACAATACAAAAAAAACAACGGGCTGCTTTGGTTTAGGGGAGCTGAGCCCAAGGGTTTACAGCCACGCCGGGTGTGTGTGTGTGTGTGTGGGAGAAACGGGGCTGGCTGTGTCCAAACGCCCCCTTTGAAAACCCAAATGGGGGGGGGGGTCTGGTGGCCCAGAGTCCCTTTTCCTTCGTGGTTCCTGCTAAATTCTGGAGGAAGAAAACATTTGATACCAAAAAGGCGAAGGGGTTTTTCCCCCAAGGCGGCAGGATCCTTTCCGAATTTGACACCCGGGCTGAGCCAGCTGGGTGGGAACAGCACGGAGTTCCTGAATCCAAGACCCTGTGGGGGGTGGGGCACCCCACAACTGTAACCCATGATGAAAAGGAACCAGGGGGGCTGGGTCGGCCCCAAATGCATGTCCTGGTAAAAAAAAACTCACTGAATGGCTCTTGGGAAGGTGGGCACCTTTGGTGCCAGAGCCTGCTCAGGTCAAGAACAAATGGTGCCAAGTTTTAGTCGAATCTTTAACCAGGGAGTCTGGTCCTCCTCTAACCAAGGGGGGACGGTCTCTTCTGCTGCTTTGGGCATGGAGAGAGTTTGCCCCACATCCCCCTCCATCACAGCCCTCGTTGGGGGTTGGGGAAGCCACAGGGGCCCAACTAGCTCCTTGCTGGCCATCTCTGCCCAGCACGATACCCTGGAGGGATTTGGCTTGGCCCCAGGACAAAGCATCCCCCTCCTCTTCCCCTTGGCAGCCAAGCCCACGTACCTGGGCATTCAGGGTGCAGAAGGTGGGCAAAAGGAAAGCAGCCGCTCGTGGCTTTTCCCACCCAGCCCTCGTTCTGCCCCACTTGCCATACTATGCCACAAGGGTCTGCGTGGCACTTGAAGGGACCCAGTTATTGCCCACCCCCCACTACCCAGAAGATAGGAGATAAAAAGCTTCACCCAAACCCCCAAGGTGGGTGGGTGGTCTGCTGGCGAAGGACAAATGATTTATCAACCAAACGGAACTCCCCGAGGTTGCTCTGTCTCCATGTGGTCTCCTTTCCCCTTCTCCTCCCCTCTGGACAACAGCACTGTGTCTTCAAATATACCTCTCTGGCGCCCCCCAAGAGCGTCCCGGGTCCCTCTTGTTCCCTCTTCAAACCCGTCTCCGTGTTTTATAGGCTCTTCTAAAAGAAACCAAGCAAAAAAATATGACAATAATAATGAAATAATTTTTGTAAGTATGTTTAATAAAATAATAACGAATAATAATAATAATATTAATAATAATAATTATGAAGCAGGACTTGCTGAGATGTTTCCTTCAGTTTTGCTGTCAAATAATGTACAGAGAACGTAGTTTGTGTCCACAGCAGAGAACCATGACGTGTGCGTGCCATTTATGTACATTTGCAATTAGAAAAAAAAAATATTAAAGATTTATTTAGCTATTTTATTCAAGCTTTTTCCCCCCCTCCGTGTAGGATGCCTTCTGTTTGCTTGAGAAGTGAATTGTCTTTGTGGGGTGTAGGCGGGTTGGAGGGGGCAGTGCTGAAGTTTGCCTGGGGTCAACTGCACCCCCAAATTTTGCAGCAGGAGGATTTGCCCACCTAATGCCAAGGAATTGGAGATGGGGGGGGGGAGGAGTGAGAGAGAAAGAGAGAGAGAGAGAGAGAGAGAGAGAGAGAGAGGAGGTAAGAACATTGGGGGGTTTGTTACACTCTTCATTTATGCTATCGGCTCCTTGCAACCCCCTCCCCTTAATTTCTTCTCCCTGTTTCATGCCAGTCCAGCCACTCCCCTTTTGAATTTGAATAATTCCCTCTGCACTACAGACCGTTCCAGATTCACTCCACATCCGTGTTCCTCGCTTAACTGGGCAGTGATTCATTTAACAACCGGGGCAAGGAAAGTCATAAAGTGGGGCAAAACCCACTCCACCACTGCCTTGTTTAGAAACGGGAATTTGAACTCAGTTGTGGTCTTAAGTTGAAAACTGCCTGCATCCATTCTTGACCCAATCTCCTCCATATTTCGGTAATAATCCTTGTGGACTAGCCACCCACCCTTTCTTACCAGAGTTTGGGCATCTTAACCTCTCCCCTCTTCTCTTTCCCCACCTTCAGCCAACATGTTAGGGAGGGCACAGCATTCACTTGCTCGTCCTGGCTTCTTGCCACTTAACATTTAAACTGCAATCCCTCACTCCATTTTCCTTGTCAAAACCCAATTACCTCGGTCTCGGATACATCAATTTTCAGGCCCAGACCCCACGCTGCTTCCTACAAGCGAACATAGGCTGAAAATCACTCTGGTTTCTCAGCTGAGCAGCGGCAACATCTGCATTTATATGCCCAGCCAGCTCTGCCAGCCGCCACAAGCATTCCTTAGGTATTTATTTCTAAATTTAGCAACCAAAGGAACATCACATTCGTTGCCCTCTCTGCTCCAACACTCAAACCGTCTCTAAGCTTCCCTCTTTCTGCCCGGCGCTCTCCGCATTCAGCAACTCACCTTCAACTCCGCCCTTGCACAAAAGGTGCTGGAATTCAAGCCTATTTGTTTTAACCTTCCTTTTATTTTGCAACCCACAAATGTACAACACAGGGTCACATTCTTAACCCTTCTTAATGACGGGGCGGAGCAGGCCACAGCCACCCTGCCTGGCACGGAGCTGCCATGCGCTTCTAAACATTCGAAATTATTATTCTACTTTCCGTGTCAACCCTTAACGAATTAATGGACCTGTAGAATGGTGTTGCCTCCATTCTCGCTCACTTCTTCACACCGGGACCAATAAATAGCAGCCTTCCAATTGTCAGTTTTTCACAACGCCTTAAACATTCATTCATTTCATTTCATTTATTAAATTTATAGGCCGCCCAATCCCGGAGGACTCTGGGCGGCTTACAATGAAAGAAGAAGAAAAAAGAAAGAGAAAAAACAAAATAAGTAAAAAATAGTTTAAAATACACAACACACATACGTTCTAATCGGGGCTGGACCTTAACACTAAG